ACATAGTTTCCTTTAAAGATACTGGGCATCCTGTCAATCGTGTGACCTGACTTCCCCACCAGGCACATGTACATAGAACGCTAGCAGCCTCCAAGACTGTATCCCGCTGCAGCTGGAAGGTCATAAAAGGCAGCCACATTTCAGTACTGGACCGAGCAGAGTGCGGCGAGGAAGGTGAAAGGCCTCCAAGTCTAGGGGACACTGAAGCCCAGAGAAAACACATCTGCACCACCGCTCCCCCAGGTACTCCAATGGTTTGGGTAACTGGCAGCTACCGGAACTCCCTTAATTTGAGAAACCAGGTCATGGCAATTGTGTCTCCACTGAAAATGAAGTGAAGCTGTAGGCAGAGGGCCAGGGTGGCGTCACTGTCACCCTGGGAGCCCGGCTGGCACTGGCAGGGCTGCTCAGGGAACTCCAAGCCGGTGACAGGCCAGCGTCCCCGACCCAATGCTCTCAGCACACAGGAGCACCGGACACATCACCAGGTGATGGGGTGATGGGTGTCTTCCCATCACAGCCCAAGGAAGCCCACCCAGAGCTCCCTACCCTCTCCACAGGTACCTGGCCTCATGCTAGTCTTTAATTCAGGCAAGGGAGTCACTCCCTGGCCATGGTTCAGTCATCATAAGGGATCCATTTAGAGGGTAAGCCCAGCCTCAGGACTTCACATTAAACAGGAACTTCATGTTAATTTGCCCAAATGATGCAGGCAAGTTAACAGCGAGCCTGCTGGGAGGCAAAGCCAGGACCCGGGCCAGCTGGCCTGAAGTTCCTCCACCTCAGACCAAGTCTGCCAATGCCTCCTGCTTGCTCAGAACCCTTTCCTCCAGCTCACGTACCACCAACCAACGGGCTTCTGCATTTCCAGATGGTCCACAGGCAGACACATTCTGCCCTTGAAAGACAGAGGGTATGACCTCATTCCCTTCAAAATTCAAAGCTCATTCCTTCCTGCCACCCCCAAAGCAAACTGCAGTGGCCTTTCTCGAAATCCAACCTTCAGACTGACCGCATCTTCCCTCCTATTATGGTTGCCTGTTATTGGCTGACTTGTCTCCAGAATTCCTGTGTGGAAGCCCTAACCCCTGCCATGTGCCGGTACTGGACATGCGGCCTGGAGGGGATGATCAGGTTAAATGAGGTCATCAGGGCGGCCATGATCCCCTGGGACTGGTGTCCTTCTATGAGGAAGAGACACCAGACAGCACGAGGGAGGACACCGGCAGGAGGCCATCTGCACACTAGGACGGGAGGCCTCACCAGAAACCAACCCTGACAGCACCTCCATCTCGGACGTCCAGCCTCCAAGACCACGAGGAACAGATGTCTGCTGTCTAAGCCGCCAGCCCATGGTGGACTGTGATGGCAGCCTGAGCAGATGGAGACGCTGCCTCTCAATCTCTCCCTCCCTTCCCACCAGCCATCCCACGCAGTCCAGACCCCACGGGCCCTCGCCTTAGACACTCTCAAGGTCAGCCCAACCCAAACACCGACCAACTGCATGAGCACATCATGAGACAATGGGACACTGAGTTCCCACACCCACCCTCCGCTCCTTAACTGCCAAGTCCCACACACATACAGCAGGACCAAAATCGTTAGCCCTCACCCCCAAAACAGGCTCGTCACCTAGAGGACAGTGCCTATATACAGTTATGAACTCACAGCACAGTGACTGAAGCCTTCCCCCAACACCTGAAGGCAGCTTCTTTGGACATTAATACAGTTATAGGGTCTTTTATACAGTGTGCCTTCCACCCTGGGATCCCCCAATCTCCTACATTATTGTTTTTATTTTTTGTAATTTACAAATATTTTTTCATTTGATTTTCAAAATTTACATCATACAGAATAGTTTCATTGCCCTAATAAATCTCAAGCTTCCCCTACTCAATGCCCCTCCACCAATGTCTGGCAACCACTGCTCTGTTTACTAGCTGCACAGTTTCACCTTTTCCAGATGTCACATAAACAGAATCACACAGGATGCAGCCTTTCAGAATGGCATCTTTCAGCTCAGAAACATGCATTTAAGGTTCTTCTGTGTCTCTTTGTGTGCCCTAAATGCTCTTTCATTTTTGCTGCCGAATTTGATTGCTGATGGGAATGCAAAATGGCACATCCACCTGGGAAACAGTTTGTAGCAGATGTTTAAGGATAAACACACGCCAACCACAGGACCAAACCACACCACTCCTGCATCCTAACCAGAAGTAAAACCGCTGAATGCCAAAAATTTCAAAAAATGCCCCAAATTTCAGAGTAACAAGACACTGTGTTGGAAGGGGCGTCAGGAAACAGGCAGTCATACTCCACCAAGAGAAATCCAGCTGGCATATCCCAAATGGAGGGGAGCCTAGCAATGTCAGCAAAGCCACATGGGTCACATCCTTATGACTACTTCCAGAAAGCTTCCCTGAAAACACACCTCCTCTGATATGAAACTGTATATGGACAAGGCTGCTCACTGTTTGTAAAATGAATGGGAACAACCTCAATGCTCACTCATAGGACAGTGGCTGGATAAACTACGGTGCATCCATCCATTTAGTGGTGTGCTACACGGCCCTAAAAATGAACAAGGCAAGGAGTGTCCTCACAGTGCACTGCCACAGCAGACGGCCAATCTACAAACAGTCGGAGTATCTACACTACACTACCTTTTGTATAAAAAGGGATATAAGAAGAGAAACACAAATTTACCCCTTTGTACAAAAAGAAATACAGGGAGGACAAACCAGAACTACAGAGACTCTTCTCCTACCCGGGGTAGGTGCTGGACGGAACAGCAGGCGAGAGGAGGAAACAACCTCTGATAACAATTATGATTTTTAGGACCTTGGTAATTAGTGTTTCATTTACTCAAAAAATAACTGAAAAAAATCAACCAGGATTTGAGACGAACCAAAATAGAATACAAACAGTAAAACAAAATAAAACCAACCCTATTACAAGTGAATAAAAGAACCACAGTTAAGAAGTAAGAAATAAAGGAACTAACCTAAATAATTTTGGAACACTAAACAATAAACTATGGGATGATAAAAACAAGAAGAACCATATACAAGTATTCTACTCTAGTTAGTAAATTTGTTTGTCATGGGTGAGGGCTAGCAATTTTGAAACTAATTTGCACGTATTTGAGCAAATCAGTAAATAAATTGTAGATAAGGAAGCCAGTTTCTTCACTATTGGAAAAAGGATTTAAAAATTAGAATTCTATGGTGCTGGATTGGAATCAAAATATTAGTGCGAACTAATGGTATTTATTATATATATACAAATAGAGAAAAAATAGATATGGATGTGTGTACAGACATATATTAAGACCTGTAGGTCTTAATTCTGTCCGAACACCCTAGAAGCAGACACCCCATTAGCCACAGCACAAAATCCTGGTCTCTAACTACCACTCTCCACAGGACAGGGCGTGTCAGGGAAGGGAAAAAGAAGCCTGGGACATCCTGGTGCCAGAAATAAGGGCACGTTGAAAGGACTCGGACACCAATTCAAAGCACTCCCAAAGGCCTATGTATTTCAGTTACAGAGTAAACACTGACACGGCTGATATGATGGATTAAAACCCACAGAATAAATATCCACGCGTCCATACTAATATAACTAAATGAACAAATAAACTGGAGAAAAGCAACAGTTCTTCCTTGGGGAAGCATGCCCATTAATCTACTAGATAGAGTGAAGGAAACAAGCCCTCACCTGGCTGATGCCACCATGCCAACTGCTGCAGGCAAGAACAGTGGCAGAAGCTGGACCCAGTGGAGGGTGATGAGCGACAGCATTCGTGGGTCTCAAAGCACCTTGGCGCAATGTGTCTGACTGCAAAGGGAACAGCAGTGACTCTTCTACCCAGAGGAACCGACAGGCCCCATAACTAAGTGATCAATGTGGCAGTGCCAGCAGTGAGCCAGCACGGAGCCCCGAGCACCCCAAGTGCCCCCTGAGCACTGAAGCCACGCAATGGGTGGGGGCCCTGCTCCCATCCACAGTTCTCACCAAAGCGCACCACATAATTTTAACCAGGAGGGAACGTTCAACAAACCCACTCTGACAGGAGTTACAAAGCAGCCAGTACTCTTCAAGCCCCAAACTTGTAGAAGAGGAAGGAAGACAGAGCAAATGGCCCAGACGGAGGAGACAAGGTGCCATGGCAGGAAAAGGCAATACCAAGTGCTGGACCAGAAAAAGCAGCATCAGTGGGATGGGGAGGTCGAGTATGTCTACCAAAGAGACCAGCTGGGATGACTACTGTGACAGCCCAAGGCGGGGGGACTTTTGGGAAGCCAGGGGAATGGCATCAGAACTCTGTGAAATGCTGTGCAAATTTTTTATAAATCCGACATTTCAAAATGAAAAGCTATAACATATAAAACTTTTAATTTGAAATAAAAAAAATCTCTGACTTGAAAATAAAATGAAGACTAATGAATGCTAATTATACAATAAGGGTTTTCTCTTCAAGGAGCCCAGGAGGAACACACAGAGAAATGACCCCAGGAGGAAATACTTGACCCTCAAAGTAGCTGCCATTTTCTCAGTTGTGACAGAGACATACTGCTGAGAAGTACGCCCCTCACAGGCTGGGTGCCCCCGAGTCCCAGTCAGCTGGAATGCCGCCAGGACAGCACGGGGACACCAGAGCTCAGTCTTCCAATTTTTCAAAATGAGTAAAATTCCAGACTAGTAAGACGAAAATCATAAACTTCACATGCTGACAACGAAGCCCCTTTTCTCAGGAAGGCAGGCCAGGTACATCCTGCTTTTGAGTTGACTTCTGCCCTCAGCCACCAGTGTGCCAGCTCCTTCCAGCAAACACCTGAATGTGCGCCGCCCTGTTGTACACAGTGAGGGGTGCTCTCACAGGCCAGGGCCCACCTTTACAGAACAAGAAACAGCCCCAAGGGGAGCCTACCCACAGGCACTCACAAGCCCCAAGGAGGCCGCCAGGCCCAGCACGCTCAAAGCACATGTCCACTCACCCGCCACCCTGACCCCTGCAGCTCCCAGGGCCTCGGGCAGCAGATGGCGGCACCTCCTCCAAGACTCCATCTCTGCGGCACCTTCAGCCCTCCCCTCCTCACCCCTCCTTCAGAAAGAAGATGAAGGGCGAGAACGACAAGGAGGCGGATCTGAGAGTGGATGAAGGAGCATCGCCATCTAAGTGTGCAAAGAAGCACCTGTTGGAGAGGCTTACACACAGCCCAGCGGAGGAACGCAGGCTCTGGAACGTCTATCACCAGAGCAAGCGCAATGCTGACGCCTGTTGTGAAGTAGGCAATCCACAATTTCTCAACCACATATACTAAAGATAAAAAACACAGATTAGGAGTAAAACCACAAAAACAGGCTCCCTTTTTGTAAACTAAAATAAAACCCTCTCTCCCCACTTTTGACAGGCAAAAGCAGACCAAAGATCACTTTTAGTAAACTATGCTAACACTAAGTAGATGGTAAGGAAAATGTTAGAACAGGAATAAATGTACCTGAGCCGCTCCTGCCTCACTGGGGGTGTGGCTGCATGACGGGCTTCTGCAAATGTCCCCTCTCCCCAGAAGTCCACCGTCCTCAGCAGCTACCAGACTCGCCTCCTGGCCGGCCACACGGACAGTCGCATGGACAGTCGGGCCCAGCCTCTTCGCCGGCTTTTTCTTCGAATGCGCACAGTCACCTTTTGTTTTCCTCTGTCGGAAGTGAGCAAGCTGCGCAGAAACGTAGAGAAGTAGTAGAGGCAAAGGTAAATGAGTAAAAAGCAGCAGAGCCACACGGTCACCAAGCTCGTGGGGAACATGAGGCTCTGGGGCAGACTCTGCCAGCCAGGCCAGGCTCACAGCAACCCACTGCTCCCGCCCCACAAACGCTGCCTTCACCAGTGTCTGTGACTGAGGATTTAAGTTCAGAGTTGTATCTGAAGAGTCTGACAATGAGAACTGTTAATTATGCCTGTATACAGACAAAAGAAAGCAATAGGGCCAAGGGGCAGAATAGCTTTTCTAGTGCCTGGCAATTCACAAAAAAATTAAAATTTTAAAACTTAATTTAAAAGTTTGATATCTTAATCAAAGCATGTTTAAGGTTTAAAACTGTAAAAGCTGTCTTCTTTTCAGTCCCCAATTTCCCCTGATCAAAGAAATATATAGCCTAGTCAAAACTTCCTAGCTATAGATTCTGAAACAAGGTACAGAAATAGCAAAAAATGAATTAAGCCAGGTCAATGTAACATCCTCCTTTATGGAATCAGATGTTCTACTTTCATGATACAGCTCTCCAAATCACCAGGGGCCTCCAGAGAACATCACCCATCAGAAGGCACAACCTAGTTCAGTCCTTCAAATCTGAGGGTCTTTGGACCTGTTCATACACCACCTCCCACTAACACCTTATTCAGGAGGTATGAGGTTAACATCAGTTTTGCACAGTGGGACATCAGTCCCTTGAAATGGCAGCTGTGGTCATAAAACTAAGCACATTTAATGTTTTTGCAAATGGTAACAGAAGTACACAATTTCATGAACACAGGAAAATACAGACAATTTAGTGAGAAAAACAGTCTCCTGAGGACAGACCCTACCCCCAAAGCCAGCCTGTCTCAACCATCTGACCCTGTGAGCCCCTGCACCATCCTGTCTCTGGCCTGGGGCTGCCCAACAAGACGGTCTTGTTTCTTCTTGCAAAGAGGCTGATCTTTCTCCCCCCTCAGTGCCCTTCATGCACCTACACACATTTACAAGCCACGGCAAGCTTGCGGAACACACAGTAAATATTACTCTGGCTCCTTCATCTCTGGCCTGTGAAAGCACCAAGCACAGACTAAGAGAAAAAAAACACACACCTCCCTCTTCAAACCCATCAGAAGTTTCACCTTCACAGAAAGACTGAACAAGGCCTCTGCCTGTCACTTGGCCACTAGTCATGGCCTCACACCAATCACTATGTGTTCTGGTCTCATTAAGCACTGGCCCTGTAGTTTCCTCAAAGGAAGAGACTAGCACCAGCCCTCCTACCAGCTGATCCATATGAAATTTCCAATGTTTGACCATGTTCCACCCCAAACACGGCAGCCCATGTGCCCCTCCTGATGCTGGTTGGCACTACAGAGATCCTCATTCATTGCTGGAAAGCAGTAACTTCCCACGGTGGCGGGGAGGTGGAGGGCGGCGCAGGGGAGGCAGGGAGTCCCAGCCAAAGTGGCTACTGCTTGTTCCACTCTGCTTCGAGAGCCTAGGCCTGTTCAGCATATGGCATAATTCCCACAAAATGCACCCAAGACAGTGAGTACCAGACGGCGTTTAGTGAGAACTGGAGCAGAAGGGCGATGAAAGCGTCCCTGGAGATACATTGCTCCAGGGCCACAGCGAGTTCACCAGGCCACCACCAGTAACAGCTGGACCCGGGCAAGATCTGGACCAGGGGGACATTAGGCAGTAGATCAGCGGGAGGTATTCGGCACTGTAAACAAGTCACGTGCTCCTAGAACACCTTCGGAGGCTTTTTCTATTTAAAAAAACCCGCATAATTCCAAGTAAAATAAAAATCTGCGTGTAGCTTTAAATGCGCGGAAGCGGCGATGAGCCCCCGTTAGAGCCGTCCGCCGCCGCACAACAGGAAATTACAGGTCCTAGAAGACCTCCAGGTATCCTGGGCTCCGACGAGGTGGAGCACAACAGGTGCCAACAGGTGCAACAAGGTCATGTGAGCTCACGTGAGCACAGGTGGGCGACGTGCTGGCAGCCCAGAAGAACCCGTCCGCTAGCAGCCTGCCCGCCACTCTACAGGGGCGGGGCCTTCCGTAGGCCTCCTTAGGACGCCCGGTCACAGCGTCTCGAACACGGGTGGCGGAACCAGCTTCCCAAACACTGGAAAAGCGCGGCGGTTCCCGCGGGGCGGGGCAAGGACCCCACCGACCCCGCCCCCAGACTGGCCCCGCCCCGCGCGCGAGCGCAACCATGGGACTCCCGGCGTGCTCCGCGCCCGGTCTCCCCGCCAAGCGCGGCGCCTTTTCCGCCGCTGATTGGCTGCGGCTGCAGAAGGGGCGGGCCCTGGCCAAGGGCGGTGGATTCAAGATGGCGGCCGCCAGGAGGCGGTTTCCAGCCGAGTAAGAGGAAAGGGCAAAACCAGCAGCAGCGCCCCCTGACTGTGCCTGTACCTGGCAGGGGGTGGTGGCAAGTGCAAGACTTCCCTTAAGAGTCTACGCCGGGGCAGAGAGGAGGAGGCGCTGTCTTTTACCTTCGCTCTCCCGGCCTCAACCTTTCTGCGCCGCTGTTCCTGCTCATCTTCTTCCATTTCCTTCCCGGGCTCCTCTCGGCCCACCCGGGAGGTGACGGGACCGACGCGGCGTAGCCTTCACTCTATTTATACTCCCTCCGGTCGTCTGGGTTCGCCCTCCCCCCGCGACAACTGTCACGCAGACGTGGGTCTGCTCCCCGCCGGGCCCAGCCTCCGGGCCTGCGCTGTCGTCCCCGCAGCCAATCAGAGAGCTGCGTTCCTGCCCTTGCGCACGCGCGCTCCTGCCGTCTGCCGGCCTCCGATTGGAGCTGGCGCTCCCGCCTCCCTCCAGGAAGGACCAATGAGGGAGCGTGGAAGCAGAGCATCTCACTGTGGTTGGCCGATTTTAAAGGGGTCGGGCTTTTCCCTCTGGTGCAGCTGAGCTGTTGTGGCCACGGCTTGGTCCCTGTCCTTCAGGGGTTCCCGGGCCGGAAAAGTAAGGCTCCTTCCTGCATCAGCGTGGGTCGCCGCCTGAGCGCCCTGGGCCGTCGGCCCCGCACCCAGCCCTCGGGTCTATGCCTTACAAAGCCAATCGTGGCTTTGGAGCGGTCTAGGACGGCCCGTCCTCGCCGTGAGATGCGCTTTTGCCTCCGGGCTGCTGGCGCCTGTGCTCGCGTGCTGGAGCGGCGGTGGGAAGGGCCGGGCCCCAGCCCGCAAAGCCCAGAGCTGCAAGGGCAGAAAGCCAGTGGGAGTGCTGCGGCTGCTAGACTCATGTGTTCTCACTACTGAGGACACTGCGGAATGCAGGAACCAGGTTTAGTGCATCAGCCTCAAGTTTACAGCCATTGGGCTGTGCAGCGTGAGACTTGACCAGTGGTCCCAGGCTCAAGTTTACAGCCATTGGGCTGTGCAGCGTGAGACTTGACCAGTGGTCCCACAGTCATGGTCCCCTAGGGCACCTCTGCCTTAAAGCAGCCCCCTGGACCAAAAAGTGTTAGGAAGGATCCCGTGCTGGCAGGGAGCTGTGGAGAAGGGCACGCTGAGACCCTGCGGCAGGAAGGGCAGACCCAGACCTGGGACACACACCCACTCCTGACAGGACAGCCTCGGACCCCAGACTGGATGGGTCTCCTCTGACCAACTCGCCAGGCGGCCTGTGGTCTCCTTGAGGAAAAGAATTCCACGAGGATGTAGTTTTAAATGATAACCAGATAAGGAGAGGGAGAGAACTGGTCCAGTGAAAGGAAAAAAACAGTCTTTTCTCAAATGGAAAATGATTAATGCTTTGAAATATTTAGGTCAGCGTTACCAAATATAGTATAAATAGCTGTTAAAAAGGAATTTACTGTAATTCCTGCTCACTTTGCAGTGAAACCAAAACTACCCTGAAAAATAAAGTCTTAAAATTTTAAAAAGAAGAATGTGACTTTTGTTATGATTGATGGTGTGTGGGAATCTGAAGTCCAATGAAGTCATTGTTCCTTAACTTCAAACTTTGCTTGAACCTGTTTGTCCAGATAAGGAAACAATGCAAGGGTTTTATTCTGGGCCTACAGTTTTGATTATGAATCAAATGCTGTCAGTAAACAAGCTCAGTGGAAGCTAATAAGCCCAACTAGTTGGCATTAACCCAAAGCATCTCACTTGCAGTATAACTGCTGCTTGGGGAGTGGCCCCTGGGAGCAGCGATGCTCTGCAAGTGAGTCCGTCACCTAAATGCCGCGGCCCCTCAGTGCCTCATCACTGTGGGTGACACCCTGGCAACCATTAAAAGGAAAATGCAAGCAATGGTATGTTAGAGTAAATAGAACACATTTAAGTTGCTGGACTAGGAAAACAGAGTTCAATCAGATGACCAGAACAGGATGGGAGTTGAAAACTCTAGAAGAGACACTGGAAACCACTGAACAGCTGTGCCTCGGAGTCCCTGTGTGAGAAGTGAACCTTGCCCACTGGGGATCCGGGCCAGCTGAAGAGCTGGATAGGATGACAGTACTGCAGGTGGCCTGCACTAGAGACGGAGGCATAAACAGCCTTGTGCCGGGAGCACCAGGCAGATGTCACGGGCTACTGTCTCACCCACCCATCCCCAGCCTTTACCTGAGCAGGGCCGTGTGCTCGCTTCCACTTCAGACTGAATGAAAGC